TAACGGCACAATAATGTAAACGCAGTAAATGTAGTATATAAAAACAGACTCAGAAACATGGGCTTCTTCATAGATATAAAAAAAAATTGCCTGAGTCATCCTTATGTAGCCCTTCATATTTTATAGATTTTTTAAAAAATACTCTTGCAATCAAAGAAGGTCTAAGTGCTTACTCTAAAGTTGCAGAAAAGAGATTCGGGACAAAGGAAAGTAAGATAGTGAAGAGTCAGCTCATTTATATAGCTAGAAGCAAAGGTTTGCTGTTATATCTGAGGACTGTAACTCTAACTCTAACTTTCTTTAAGTGTTATATAATATAATATATACTTACATTTATTAAGTATAAACTTCACATGTAGTGTTGTATCATGGTTTATTTGATTGACTTATGACCACAATTTAACCCCAAATTCCCGCTGTTAAGAAAGGCAGTTAAGTGAATTGCAGTTTACAATTTTTTTGGCCACAGTTGTTGAGTGAATCACTGCAGTTGTTAAGTGAAACATGGGTCGTTAAGCAAATCTGGCTTCCCCCATTGACTTGTCAGAAGCCGTCTGGGAAGGTAACAAATAGTGATAATAAATACATACCAGTTGCCAAGCTCCAGAATTTTGATCATGTGACCGTGGGGGATGCTTCATCAATCATAGGTGTGAAATCCAATGATAAGCCATTTTTCAGTGCCAGTGTAACTTCAAATTGTCACTAAATGAATGGTTTTAAGTTGAGTGCCTCTAATAGGGTCCAGATAGATGAAACAAGCTAAAATTCAATCTGAACAAGATAGAGTAGTTGTTAATTGTGATGGTTTGTTAGACCCATTTTCATCTTTTCATATGAAAGCACTACTACAGGCCTATGACTTGAGGCATCTTCCTAAACTCGTGGCTACTGGTGGATGGATTTATTTATTTATCCCATTTTTCATTTAGTGGTTGAAGGTAGAATAAACATCAAAATGTAGCAGCAACAATAAATACTTACTAAATACGGCTAAGTTCAACATCATATTTGCCTGTGAAACATGGCTCAACACATCTCTCTCTGACTCCATTACTACTTCATTACTACTCCTATACTACAAGAGACTATCATGTTTACCAATCAGATCGCGAAAGCCGTAGAGGAGGTGGTGTTGCTATCTTCTATCAAAAGTCCCTACACCTAAAAAGCATCCAAGTTACCCAGGAGCTTGCTCTTCCTGAGACTATAGTCTGTGAACTGTCTTTAGATATAACATTTCAATTCTTACTATGTTACAGAGCCCCTGATTATGACATCAAACATGTAAACAAGTTAAATTCACTACTAACATGGGCAACATCATGCCTACACAGTTTTATCTTTCTTGGTGACTTCAATCTACCTCATATTAACTGGACCCTAAACGAATGTAAAACTGAACCCATACATGCAACCTTCTACAATGCTGTAACAACTTTGGGACTGGAACAACTAGTAACCAACAATACTAGACTTAACAACTGCCTTGATCTCATCTTCTGCAATAGTTTGAATTCAATTTATGGAATACAAATTAAAGAATCCTTTTCCAACAGTGACCACAACATGATTGACTTCTGTCTCAACATACGTACACACAAAAATAATCAAAACGATGGGATCCCCTATTATAACTTCAAAAAAGGCAACTATGACCTTATAGACAACGATCTCTCATCTCTTGATTGGCAATTTCTATTCGCTGGAAGCAATACAGTTGAAGACCATTACAACATTTTTTTACTTGATGTCAAAAGAGCCATCAAACTGTATCTACCAATAACAACTCCCAAAACCAGAAAAAACAAATTACCCATAACAATAAGGAAGCTTCATCCAAAAAGAAATCACTTTGGAGAAAAAACAAATCTAGTCACGTTGCCAACTTCAAAAGCCGATACAAAAATTTATTCCATCAGATAAAGACTGAATGCCCCAATTATCACATTAAACAAGAGGAAAATCTTCTACGCACAAATTCCACCCGTGCTTTCTACAATTTTGTAAACAACAAACTAAAAGGCTCAAGGTCCATCCCATCCCTGAAAGGACCTAATAGTAAAGACTGCAATGATGACACCATTAAAGCCAACGTCTTTAACACATTCTTTAGCTCAGTATTTGTAAACAGCAATGGATCATGCCCAGTATTTCCTAGTCAAATCACAGACAACTACAATGATCTAATACACATCAATTTTACAGAAGACAATGTTGAAAAAGCACTACGCAATCTAAAACCATCTCTATCCATTGGACCAGATGGAATTAAAAATCCTATCTGCTGCCATAGCCGAACCTCTAAGCATAATCTTTGGAAAATCTTTCAGGACCAGCTCCTTGCCTAACTTATGGTCACTAGCCACGGTCATCCGCATCTTCAAAAAGGGAGATCGCAACCTAGTTGAAAATTACAGACCAATCTCCTTATGCTGCGTCACCTGTAAAGTCATGGAATCAATTATTAACCAATCCATTATCCTCCATTTAGAGACAAACAACCTACTCTCTAATAAACAATTTGGTTTCAGGAAAATCTATCCTGTAATCTGCAACTCTTACACTGCAAAAACATGGACTACACAACTTGATCAGGGCATAGCAATAGATGCAATCTACCTAGACTTCTGTAAAGACTTTGATTCAGTGATACACGACAAACTACTCCTAAAACTAAAATCTTATGGTATCTCTGGTCACCTTCATAACTGGATAGAAGCATTCCTGTCAAACAGACAACAAATGGTCAAAATTGGGAACGTCCTATCAAATTCTGTACCTGTCAACAGTGGTGTCCCCCAAGGTAGTGTTCTAGGACCAACTCTCTTCATTCTCTATATAAATGACCTCTGTGATCATATTAAGAGCAACTGCGTTCTCTTCGCTGATGATGTAAAACTATTCAACACCACCGACAATACCACCGACCCTTCAAAAAGACCTTGACTATGTATCAGAATGGTCAAACAAATGGCAACTTCAAATCTCAACAAATAAATGCTCCGTCTTACATATTGGCAAAAAAAATCAGAAAATAAAATACAAGCTGTATAGTCAAGACCTTGTTGATGATCCAAACTCTGTAAAGATCTTCGACTATTCATCTCTAATGACCTAAGTGTTAGAGCCCACTGTAACTACATAGCCAAAAAGGCATTAAGAGTTGTTAACCTAATCCTATGTAGCTTTTTCTCTGGTAATATCACACTACTAACTAGGGCATATAAAACATTTGCTAGACCAATACTTGAATACAGCTCATCAGTCTGGAACCTGCATTATGTATCTGATTTTAATACAGTTGAGAGAATCCAGAAATATTTCACAAGAGTTCTCCACTCCTCTACCCGTTGCAGAATACCTTATGCCACCAGACTTGAAACTCTAGACCTAGAAAACCTAGAACTACGCTGCCTTCAGTCTGATCTAAGTATAATATATAAAATTATATATTGCAATGTCCTACCTGTCAATGAATACTTCAGCTTCAACCATAATAACACAAGAGCACACAATAGATACAAACTCAAGGTAAACCGCACCAAACTTAATTGCAGGAAATACGACTTCAGCAACACAGTGGTCATTGCAGGAAATACGACTTCAGCAACACAGTGGTCAGACTCTACCTGACTCTGTGGTTTCTTCCCCAAACCCCAAAAACTTTAACCTTAGATGGTCTACTATTGACCTCACCCCTTTCCTAAGAGGTCTGTAGGGAGAGTGCATAAGTGTACCAATGTGCCTACCGTCCCTGTCCTATTGTTTCTTTTTATTTTTCTTATATATATCCATTTCATGTACTCATAACTATGTCTATACTTATACTTGTAATCTTATAATTGCTTGACAAAATAAATAAATAAAATAAAAATAAATAAAAAGCAGAATATAGTAGCAGAAATATTAATAATAGTATTGATTGTGTGGTCAATTTTGGGGGGGAAGGTGTTTTAGGAAGATACTGTAAAACAGGTTTCCAACCCCCAGATTGCAGCACAGTATGGACTGTGGCCCATTCAGAACTGGATTGAGGGGGAGAGCTAAGCATGCATGCAGCTCCATCTGTGCAAGCAGCAGGTGTCCGTGCCCGCCACTCATGCAAATAGAGCTACAGGGACTCACCCGCTGCTCACATGGAATAATCCCCTCTCCCCCTCTTCACCCTCCAGTGAGGAGTGCGCCCTCACCAAACTGGTTGTTACACCGGTTGAATCACACCGCTTCTGCTGTAAAAGACTAGCAGAGATACCTTTGGAACCCCATTTAATGAACTCTCCCTTTGTAATCAGATGCAAGCTTAAATTATGCAAGTTGATGTATGTTTAAATTTGATTTCTCCAAAATGCATTGTTTTTCATTTAAATGAGAAGTGCATATGCAAAATTTTGAAAAAAAAATAGAAGGACAATGCTAAAATTAAAAATCACATAAGAGCCAATATTGGAAAGAAAACATATACAGTATTTTGAGGATATGTAAAGTATATTTGGAATCTTAAGGAGGTATATAAGAATTTAACAATGCATATTCAATATTTGGGTCCAAATGCAGTTTTCCATAAAAATGGAAAGATTAGGAATTACTCTGTTTATATAGCATAACAGCTGCTTTTGGGTCTTCTATTTTCTTCCCTATCCAGATCAAAACTAATTTGAAGTAATTATTTTGTGGAAAATTTGGTGGTGGGTTTTTTTCTTGTTTTTTATTTTTAAGAGCCAGCAAGTCTCAAGGGAGTTGATCACCTATGATGCAAGAGGGAATTAGGAAATTAATTAATTATTTAAAATGGCTAATCAAAACCATGGAAATTTTTTTACTGCATTTCTAGAAAAAGACTTTCATTTCCTATCTACAGTGAAAATGTATTGCTATAGGACTATAATGGTATATTCCTTACCTATGAATCAGTTTCTTAGTGGGAATTCAGTAAAGAAAATTGGTCTGTGTATATTTTACATGACAAATGTCTGTTGATTTTCTTTTTATTTCTATAGGCCAACGCACAACTAGTTCGAGAAATTGATATAGAAAAGGTATCCTCATTTGAGAACCCTTATGTAGATGCAATAAAGAGCTTATGGAATGATCCTGGTATTCAAGAATGCTATGACAGACGACGTGAATATCAGTTGTCAGATTCTACTAAATAGTAAGTATAGATGTCTTATGAGGTTTTTAGCAATGTAATTTTTAATGTATATAAATGTATACACATTAATATTGGGTTTTCTCATTCAAGTTTTGAAAATTAGTTAATGTAACTTCTTCACTGGTGTTTCAACATGCAAAAATAATCAGATATTACTTAGATGTATATTTCAGATATAATGAGATGCTTTCTGAAGTGATTTGATAGTGATAGTATTATCCTAAACCTTCTGGTTAAATGATGATCACTCTGTTAGTATAGCTGGCATACATAAATATGTCACATTGCTTATCCTGCTCTTTCAGGGAACCCAGTTTTTGATAATCTTTTATTTTGTTATCTTTCAGCTTATCTAATTAAAAATTAAAATAATTTTTAATTAATTTTTCACAACCTACAATAAGTGCAACAACAGGGAAATATTTAATTATTGGAAAATTATTTTATTTCCCCTCAAAAATTAAGAAATAATCTGGTTTTTTAAACGATGTTCTCATTCTGAGTCTTGTATAATCCTGGATGTATGTATGTATTCTCCTATCTTTTATCCAAAGATATTAAACAAATATGCATTGTTTTTTCTTCCCATTTTGTTCTTCCTTACATCAAAAGCAGTGAAAGCTAGACTAAGAGATAGCGACAGGCCTTATATCAAGTGTTGAATACTGTGGAAAAAGAGACATCCTGTACTTTGGTTTGCACTTATTGCTATATGTGTGAAAACAATACATTACTATAGGGCAGGAAGAGAAATAATATCTCATATTTCAGAATTTCTGGAATAAAGAAGATAGGGTTACTTCCTTTGGAGATAATATGGTATATTTTCCAGAATTGCCTTTCTTATGACCAAGAAGTAGAATTGGCAGTCAGAACTAATGGAATTTGACTGATAAGGCAAATGACTGTGTATGAACATGAACATTTTGAACCTAGACCAAAATGTCTGCATATAAAAGCTCAAAAGTTTTATTTGGCAAGATTTGCAAAATATATTTCTTTGCCTGTTGTACTTTCTAGCTTTCAAAAGCTCAGCTGAATTAGTTAAGCAGCACCAAAAATAAATACATGCTTGGTTATTTTGTTCTTGCCCCTCATACTTGCATTCTAAAGTGCTGTGTAGGGTTACTTATACATAGTATGAACAGAATAGATGATACAAGTAATATATTATCTTGAATAGTGTTTTTCATTTGCAGCAAATTCTAGTTGAAAAATTGTACATACTAAAGTGTTATGCTTTATATATCAATAGCAATAGCACTTCGACTTATATACTGCTTCAGAGTGCTTTGCAGTCCTCTCTAAGTGGTTTGCAGAGTCAGCCTACATCCCCAAACAATCGGAATCCTCATTTCACTGACCTCAGAAGGATGGAAGGCTGAATCAATATTGAGCTGGTGAGAATCGAACTGCCGAACTTCAGGCAGCCGGCAGTCAGCAGAAGTAGCTTGCTGTACAGCATTCTAACTGCTGCGCCACCACAGCTCTTGACATATGTATATGTTTTGTATTCTTTCTAACAGCAAGTTCAGATAGTTGAGTGCCTGGCGCTTGAAATGAAATGTGTGGTTTCCACATGTTTAGGATATTCTTGATTCACTCAAATTTAGAAGGAAAATATTTTTTAAAAAAAAACCCTCTAAAACTCTATTTAGTAGGAATTTGGCTTGATAACAGAATGACCATGATAATAGTCACAATTAGGATCATCAATTTGAAAAAAAAAGTGTAAGAGGAACAGAAAGATAATGAAGAAGTGTGAGACAGTAGTTGACAGCTTAGAAGCGTGAGACAGTGGTTGAAAGCGTCTGAGATCTTGATTCTTAGTTTTAGGGTTGGACAGGATTTCAAGGCAAACCACATAATGAAATAATGAGTTTGAGTTGCAGTAGCCCATTAATGTTGTCCACTGCAGGAGGCTTTCTCCAGTAAGAACAGTGCAACTCCTCTTTAATTACTCACTACTCTGCACTCTGGGTTCAACTTTACATTGTATATTATGGTCACATGGTGTGTTTATTTTAACCTATAATTATATAATTTCAAATTTGATTACAATTAGGCCTGTTGTGTCCAAAGTTGAGTAGGTTTATCAAGTAGTTTGTACAAAAAAGGCTAATATCCTAGGAAGGTGCAACACATTAGTGGTTCTTTCCTGATTGTATATGATGTAGGTTAATGCATCCAGAGGAGAATAAATTAGGGTGACCTTTGATAATTAAAACTCCAGTAGTGCATACATTGGCAGGGTCAGTTTTAAATAGTTGTTGCATACTTGTAGCCAGCCAAATCCCATGAGAAAAGGCAGGCACCACAACCAAAAAGGGTCCTTCCTGGATCCAGCTAAATCATTGAGGCTTCTAAATTTCTCTTGTTATGTACCAAAAATGGAAGCCTCAACCAAAGATGATGACTTTCATTCTGAGACACACGTAGAAAATTGTAGACTTCTGTAATTCAGGCATGACCTATTTATTTTTGCATAATTTATATTTACAGTAATGCACTGTAATGTTTTTTTTCCTGGAAATTCTCATTAGTGAGATGTGATTTGAAAGATGTGTAGCACAGAAGCGCATGCTCCTTGGTTCTCCTGATCTCCTAATCCTTTACCATATTCTGTTGGGAAATATTGTAGATCTGTCATCAAAAGATATTTTAACCATTTAAGCTCATCATTAATGGTTGGTGGCATACAGTTATTGAAAAGAAATTGCACATCTTAATATATTTCTATTACAAGCCATATTTTGAAAGTTAATTATAACTGTAATTTGCAAAGTAAAATCTAGAGTGGCAGCTGTAGTAATTTTATTGGGTTGCCATAGAGATAGGCCTAAGGTGCTGTAGCAAGGTAATTTGTGTGGTCATAATGCAATCATGGCTCTCTGAGGCAGTCACAAATTCTAATACAACTAAAAGTTGTTGCACCTTTATATTATAGTACACTGGAGCCCTTAGAATGAGCTAATTCAGTTAACTAGTCAGCAAGGTAGACTATGATAAGAGGCCAAGTGATGATCTTTCACAGGGTTAAGCAAGTTACCAGTTATCAAGACAAGCCAATGTATCCAAATGTGAAAGAAAGTTTAAAAAAAGAATATCAGGAAAGGATGGATAGAAAAATCTTACAGATATTAAGGGTTTTATTACAGAGCATAGCCCATGTGTTGAAAATGAAGTATCATGCTTTTTGGCGAGAGTACCCATATGACAAAATTTTCCCTTGCCTCTGGGGAAGTCCAGTTCACCTCTTCTTGCTAGTTTTAGCTAAGAAATGAAAACTTGTTTATTCAGCAGAGGTACGTAGATATAACCTAATGATGAGCTTACTGCTATATATTTCCTTGACGGATTGATAGATTGATTCATTGATTTGGCTGCCCAAATTATACAATATGGCTGGGTGACTTATAATTATATAGAAGTGTGGGAAAAAAATTATAGGAAGCATCTGGAATCCAATGATAGAATAATAATATAATGAAATAAAGAGAAACAGAATAGCCAAATTACTATTATATGCACATTCAAAAACTTTTCATTCTGTGTGTGTTCACCTCACAGTCTGGTCTGGTGCCTGGAGGAAGAATTAGATTTCCAGGGCCTTTACAGAAGAATAGGAAGCACAGGGCTACCTGAACGTTGGAAAGAATCCTATTCCGTAAGCCGAGTGTTACAACAGAGAAAGTTTGCCTCCTGGATCCTTCCAGGTGACATGGCTTCAAACAAGGAGTTGCAAGTAACTTAGCTGGCGTCATAGAGGATAATCAACAACTTGAATTGGGACATCTATTGGGAAGCAGTACAGATGTCAGAGGAACGATCTTTCAAAGATCTCTTAAGGTGGCCCTTTCTAGATCAATTGCAGCTTGCAGGTGGTTTTCAAGAGCACCCAGTCTAAAGCATGTTTCAGTAATCCAAGTTAGAATGGCACAATTGAACACAGGATGGATCTATTGAAAGAGGCAACAGTCCCAAAGTAAAGGTAAAGGTTCCCCTTGCACATACGTGCTAGTCATTTCCGGCTCTAGGGGGCGGTGTCCTCTCCATTACAAAGCCAAAGAGCCAGCGCTGTCCAAAGACATCTGTTGCCAGCATGACTAAACACCAAAGGCACACAGAACGCTGTTACCTTCCCATCAAAGTGGTCCCTATTTTTCTACTTGCATTTTTACATGCTTTTGAACTGCTAGGTTGGCAGAAGCTGGGACAAGTAACTCCGTTATGTGGTGCTAAGGACTCGAACAGCCGGACTGCTGACCTTTCTGATCAACAAGCTCATCATCTTAGCCACTGAGCCACCACATCCCTTTAACAGTCCCAAAAGACCACCCAAAATGCATACCAACTCTGATTGGGAAATGCAATCCAATTCTGAACTGACAGGATAGAATCTCCAGAATTAGGAGACCTCAAAACCCACAGCCATTTATCATGTATTGAGCTGGAGCATTTTCTTCCCCACCCCACAGCCTTCAGTACTGGGAAAGAACACTTAGTCATCCTACAATGGTGATGTGTAGATGGGCTTCATCAGCGTGTTAATGATACCTGACCCCATACCAATGAATGACTTCCCATGACTCAATATAAATATTAGATAAGAGTAAATAACAAGTAGGCCATAAGAGGTTCCCAAAAGAAGGGGTTGATTTTTTCTCACCCAAACTATTACTGACTGGATCCATTGTACTTTCCACTCCTAACGCTTGAAAATGGTCCGGAAACATACCATGATCAATGACATTAAAAGCATCTCATCATTTCTTTTCTCTTTTTCCCTATTCTAATTTTTTTTAGTTCTGTGGTTTAATGCTTTAACTGTTGCTCATAGTGAGTCCTATTCAATTTTATTGGGCATATTAAACAGTTTTATGAGCTTATGAAATAGGTGCTATTCAGAGGTGGTATTTAGCAGGTTCTGACCAGTTCTGGAGAATCGGTAGTGGAAATTTTGAGTAGTTCAGAGAATCAGCAAATCCCATCTCTGATTG